AATGGATAAAAGGAATTCTTATATAATATAATAAATATCATATGTATAGGAAATAGAGAAACAGCCATTGAATAAATAATACACTTTATTTATATAGGCAATCATAACAGCGCTTACTATATATTAATTTTTAAATAGTGTTCAAATTTCTTAAAAATGATTAAAGTTTTTATGTCTTACAAATAATATTTTATTACAAATATTTTACAACCACATACATTAGTCATTATGTATTATTATAAAAAATCTCATTGAAATCTATGTCCTTGCAAAATTTTGAACCTTATTTGCATATTATAAAGTAAAGAAAATAAGAAAATTATTACTCCTTGCCAAAAACCTTTATCATTTGATCATTTAGGAAATCAGGTAATGATCAAATGTAATATTGATATGTTTCATATAAAAAATATTTTTAATCTTAATTTAATAAATTAAATAAATCTTTTTAGGGATTAAATATTTTCAGAACCAAAGTACTTATAAAATTTGTACAAATCTGCTATATCAATATTTGCAATAAAAATGATTGCTTCTTAAAAACAATAAAATATTTTAAATTTAATAATATATCAATAAATAAAAGTTTAATAATCAATATTATTATCAAATAGATTTTATTTATTTATATAAATTTTACAAAAAATTTTTAATTTGAATAAACATATTTATTTAGACATATTCTATAGATCTTGATTATTTAATTTTGTCTTTAATTTTGTCTCATTCTGCCTTCTCAATATCATGTTTAAGTCTATTACCAATATCAATTAAAGTAAATTCATATTTATTAATTAATATTTATACATTACACGTATAAACTATTTTATAAACAATTTGGTGTAAGTACTCTGAACGTTGCGCCAAAAAGAAATTTAGTCTAGGAAATATTTGATCCCTTTATTTGGCAAATATGACATAAGAGAAATATTTTAATTTTTCTCTTACCATAAGATACATACATATGCCAATCTTATGTACATTTATACGTTCCTCGATTCATGCGAACGTTGTTAACTTCTTCAAGGTGATTTATAAGAGTTAAAAATAAGTGTATAATTCGAAAAATGTCAGCGATGGATGACATTCTTGAAAGTTGGGAAGAAATTGAAGAATCAGAGGTGAATTGTTTTTTACGTAATATTTGAGATCGTGTTATTTAAACTTCATTTGATAATGAAATAATTATCTTAACCTATACTATGGCAGACGTACCTAAAATGTTAATTTTAAGTTCATTATTGTCAATAATACGAATTTGCATATTGCTACCATGAAAATAGATTATCTTTGCGAATTATATTTATATAACACTACTTACTGTTAAATAAATAAGTATCCATGTGGTTAATGATAATAGTGAAAATAAAAATGTATTTTACTTGAAAATATATATTTCTGATTGAATTAAAGTATGTTACTTTCAAATACTGATATATCTATTAATTTTATAGATATGTAAAATGTAGAACATTAAATATTTTAGACTTCTATCTTCTAAATAGGTTATTACTGAAATGTACATAGAACAAAAGCACTGATACAATACATGGTTCAATGCATAAGTTTGTAAGTATTAAAAAAATGTATTAAAGAATTTATATAGATCTTCATCCACAATATCTTTCTTATTTAAATATGAAAACAAAATTACACGAAGAAAGTAAATAACATATGATGTATTCATAAAAGTATTACAAAAATCTAAATTCAAACAGAATACTTAGAAAATGAGACAATATTAATAGTTTAAATATTTGTACACTGAATTGCATATTGTGTTAATACTTTTGTTCAATACTGTTGTATCAAGTAACATTATTTTATTAAATACTTCTATATCTTAATAATAGTCAAATTAATTAAGTAATATTCAATAAATTTTAGGTGCTTGATAAAAAATTAGATGCCCTTCAGTTGAATGCAGTAGAAGCATTGGAAGAAATAGAATCTTCTAGGTAGGTTTAGAAACATCAAATATATATATGAAAATATATATAAGTTTAAAAAGAATATAAACCTGGAATTTAGAATTATCATGTGTTAAATATTGGGTTGAATGAAAAGTTATTGAATTTGCTGTAGAATATTGTTATAACATTATTATGTAATTCATTAGTCATTATCCTCTTATTTTTCATAACCTTATCTAATACATGTTCTATGCTTGAAGTTATATTTTGATTTATTCAGTTATTTTTTTGTTATAAAAATCATTAAAAAATGTTTCAAATTCATATTCGATACTTATTACTTTATGAGTTTCAGAAGGGCACTACAATTATATATACAATAAAGAACATTTGTGAAATATATGGAGAATGTATTGTTAAGATTTGAACCTATCAAATATGATTTCAAAAATATCAATCAGGAGATGTTGATATATATGATGCACCATTATCGAAGAAACTAAAATTAATAAATAAAGATGATTTATAAATGACAAAGATTGTAAATAATCTTATATTAAGATTGTAAATAACCTTATAATGAAATTTTAATATGTTCCAAATATGTATTGTTGAAATGCTCCGTTATTTTGGAATGATTATGAACTCTGTATATACTTTCTGTATTCGCTATGTGAAAGAAAAGAAAACAAAGTAAACTGTGTAACAAAATATACATTGAAAATTCTACAGTAATGGAAATTATTTTTTCAATGGTCACATATAGCAAAAGGCAAATATTTCATGATAATGCTTGAAAAAGATAGTACTACAAAACAATGGAAAACAAAACACTTGATCAGGAAATACACACAGGAAATAATCTATTACAAAGTTTTGTAAACAAATTAAAGACTTTGAAATAAGTTATTAATAATTGGCACAAGTAAGTGAATATCTGGAGAAAAAGCACTGGAGAAGCAAGAGTTAATATGAAATAAATCATGTTTTATTAATATATTTGTTTACATGTGATGAATTTAGAACTCAGAAAAAGAGTAAAAAGAATTAAGCTAGGAAATTATACTCCAATGCTCCATATTCATTAAACATAGTGTCATTTGGTTGCCATTCATTCAGATTGTTGTAAAATCTAGGTGGGAAAGGAATGAGATTCTTATAGAGAAGGAATCAAAAAGTCTGTGGAATATTAGGGAAGCATAATAGAAAATATCAGAGATTATATCATTGATTGAACAATTCAATTTGTATAAAAATAATACAATGCTGTCTATAACAGAAAAGGTGGAAACTTTCCACTCAACCCAATATATAAAGTAATATATAATTCTATGGATAAAAAACTGCTAGCATGAAAGCACTAATGTCATAAAAAGATATTTGCAATGCACAATTTTAATTTACAATTATTACTTAATTGCTTGATGTGAAGTATTACAAATGAAAAAATGTTAATAATATAAAAATAGTTATAGCTTAATATATCATTTTGTAATGCCTTAGTTTCAAAACCAGTCACAATACGAGTACCAGGATGATAATGTTAGGGGAAGATGGTATGCGATCTCAATATGTACCTCCAAAGCCAACAGTAAAAATATTGAAAAGACCTACAAGAGATTCACAAGGTAGTGGTGATGGACCATTAGTAAATGGGGATAAACCAAAACAACCTATTAAATCTTTAAAACAGGTATATTTTCATTATTTTAACATGAAAAGTGTTACAAAAATTGTATAATTAACAATTTTTTAGAGGGAACAAGAATACGCAGAAGCAAGAAAAAGAATTTTAGGCGAAGAGAAAAGTCCAGAGGAAAAATTAATGCAAGAAATAAATAAAATTCAACCAAAACCAATAACTCCAAGTAGCAGTGGGCTACCAAGTAATGTTCTTCGTATGCCTATTGGACCAGATGGAACACGGGGATTTAATGTACGCAGGTAGCGCGTCTTCCGGGGTTCAGTTCTTTCCACCCATCCTTTTCCTCCTCTTCCTTCACCTTAACATAGGGAAGAGAGGCAGCTATGAGGCTGATGGCAGAAAACAAACTAATCTTTCTGACCAAGTATGAGCAGAATGCTCTTACAATTTTGAATGGAGCATAATAAGAACTGTGCTACAGGACACTGTTATAGACAGATTATATACATAAAAAGACCAAGGCTATAAATTGGCGAAGTTAAGTCATTATAGAACTGATAATATTTTTTGCTGGTATAATATAACCAGTTTTGTTAATATCTACTATGTTTAACGAAAATATTGAATTAATTGAAATCTACAACTCTCATTCTAAAAACATTAAAACGAAATGTTTAATTGCAATATGGTATAAATTAAATTATTTTGCTTTTTACAATTGTACATGTTTTTCAAAATATTGAAACTAATTATATAATAAAAGATTTCTCTTTATATCCCTCTTCGTTACACTTGAGTAGTTATTTGTTTTCTAATTATATACATATATATATATTATATATATTATATATAATATATATGATATATACATATATAATTTTATTTTTTTCCATTTTATAAATGGAGTGTTATTATTATAAACGGAAAACATGTAATTTTATAAATATATAATTTTCTAATTTTTAAATATATATTTTTATGAAACAGTTAATTTTACCAGAAATTTTTCAGATATTTACACTTTTTATTACTTTTACCATGTAAAAAATTAATAAATATCAACAACACATAGTAATATTCATTACTGTCATATTGTCATACAGGGTAGCCCAGCTAAATGCTATTACCTAAATCTGCCTTATTTATTGTTGTATCACAAACTTATTAGGACAAAGGTATAGTATTTCAAGGTCCACATACTACATACGAGGCTGAAAATAGTTTTTACTCATGGTCACTTTTGTTTTTACAAGACTCCAAGGCTATTAGCATGTCTTTTAATAGAATCTTATATTTATTGTTCAATATCTTTGTAGAGTGTAAAAAAATAAATTCAACGACCTCCATAACCACATCTTTCCCAACGTATTATTTCAAGATATTTACGTCTGAAGTATGTAACATTTTCATGGATATTTCATAAAGTCGCGGGAGGCCTTACGGAGAGGTTATGTTTATATTAAAGCATTGTTGCCAGATTTATTTTCACTATGGTTTGTACCATGTTTGTACTTAAACTAGATTGTGAATAAATAGTGTAGTTGGTAGTCATGAAACTAATATGGTGGTTGAGAACGCGTGCTAAGTGTGGGTAGTTCGACTGATAACAGAAAAGTATATTTTTCTCATTTTAAATAAATAAATAAATTAATACGAAAAAACATTCTGCATTACATATAAATTTTATGTAATACGCATTCTGAAAATATGGCAGAATCAGTTGGACCAATACTTCATGTAATTGTCGTTGGATTTCATCATAAAAAAGGATGTCAAGTAAGTCACTTGCTATTTTAGTTAAAAAGGCTTAGTAATCTTGTCTTTTGAGACACTGTATTATGTATTTTTCATGATAAAATCCTGTATGGTGTATTGTAATGTTTAAATCTTGTCATCTTTTTATATGTAATATATTATAATCGTATTTTTACTAAATAATGTTTCAAAATTAATTAACTATAAACATTTTTACATTTATAATTTCTATAGATGGTATTATATGTTATTATTAGGTAGAGTATTCATTTCCTCCTTTGGTGTCTGGAGCTCCGAATGAATGTCCATTAGGTTGGAAATATTTACCAACCCTTGCTTTACCAGATGGATCTCATAATTATGACGAAGATACAGTTTACTTTCATTTACCTAGTTTGAATAATCCAAAACGTACAATATATGGTATTTCATGTTTTAGACAAATTCCTGTTGAGGTAACTAAAACATTAAATCTTTTATTTTCTATATGTCTTAAACTTGTTTTATTTGTTTGGCAGATTGCTCTGGTGGCAATCACAAGTACAGTAAAAATCTTAAATTGAAGCAAAAATGAGTTCCAATAGAGAATAATAACAACTGTAATAATATCTTTTTTTTTTACAAGCTTAATAACGTTCAAATGTCAAACTTCAATATATTTTGTTACATGTTGTGTAATTTTCGAGAAAAATAGTTTTGAAAATAAACCTTATGTAATTAAATAAATCTGAAAATTTTATGATGCTCATAGGAAAATTTATCAGTATATTTTATCAATATATTGTCTTTTACCAATATATATTTTTCTTTTATAAATCAGTCTTGTCCTGATTGGTAAAAGACAAATATATTGATAAAATGTACTTAATCAATCTTGGTTTTATATATTTACATAGTATTTCAAAGTTACAAAAATATTTCGGAAACTCAATAATTCAGAAGATATTATCTACAAAATTTGTTAACATTTGATTTTGATATATTTAACTACCATTATATATATATATATAGATATATGTTTTCTTTAGTATTGGCAAATACTTTTAATATCAAAAAATTTAAGTAATTTCTTATTTTACAGTTCTCCAGATGAAATTTTGTTTTTAAAAGTTTGAGAAAAGCATCATTACATTTACTTAAACTCTTCCCTACAACATGTCAATTTCTTGCATGTGGTTCATTTGGAAGTTAGCATCACAATAAACCATTAAACATCATCTAATGTGCAAATTCAGGTAGGAGGCCAAACAATTCTATGGCTAATTGATGGTTATATATGTCAATATTGTTTATATATCAACTGCATTGTAAATGAATGTCTAAAGTTTGATTCTATAAAAAAGTATGCAGTAAAATATCTGTACTACAATATAAAATTTTAAGCTTTTTTTCTCGAAAACTATACAACTGATCAAAAGAGTTTTTCCTTACCTCTTCTTTTATAAAAGAACTACATTCTTGTCAATTATGTTGTGTATATTTGCTATACTGTGTATTTTTATATTATGAAAAATGATACTATTTAAACATTTATGTATTTTCAGAAATTAAAAAATCGTACATCTGATATAACAAGAGGTACAGTTCAAAAATCTGTGTGTGTATTAAGCACTTTACCATTATACGGTCATATTCAAGTAAAAATGGCACTGATAACACATGCATATTTTGAAGAAGGTGACTTTAGTAAAGTATCATTATTGGAAGATACTTTTCATCACCTTAATTCTTGTATGAGTTGTGAGAGTCAAATACCACCACAAATCTTTGTTGGTAACTACTTTTTTCATTTTCAATTGTCAACAAGTATCATCAGAATCAAAATTATTTCATTCAAACATTTTCAATTCAAATGAAGATAGCTTGAAGAAATATTTTACATTAAAAAATTTATATTTATAGGATTATCTGCAAGAGATTTTATATTGCAGTTTCGCCATAAAGTTCTTTTATTGTTTAAACTACTTCTACTAGAAAAAAAAATAGTTTTTTATCAATCACCAGTTCAACCATTATGTGCTACAATATTAACATTACTCTCATTGTATCCTGGCATGATAGAACATGGCTTACAACAAGCTGCATGTGTCAGGTAGTATATTTAACATGAAAAGAGAAAAGAACTACTTTCCTTTAATTATATTATTTTCACGAGTTATATTTCATTGTTTTTTTTAGACCATCCAGACCCATGTCTCCTATTCCTACATTTGATGAGGAAGAAATATCAATAAATAGCATTGATAACAATCTATCTTCTACAAATTGTGTCAAAGAAAGCATATCTGATAGAATGGCAGTGCATATTAACGGTAATTCAGATAGGAATTCATTATGCATAAACGATAATAAAGATATTGAAACTATGGAAGGAAAATGTATGGATGAATTTAAAAATATAACAGTACAAAAAAATAATAATGAAAATGAAAATTTAAATATGAAAGTTATTGAAGTTGAATCAGCACAAGAATGTACCAAATCTTATGCAGAAGAAAATAATTCTATATATTCTTCAAAGCCAAATGACAATATACACAGGGTACAGAGTATACATACAATTACATTAAGTACAACAGACACTGATAATACACTGCCACGTGATACAAGTAACGATGCACTTTCGGACGCACGTTTGACAAATAATATTACTCAAATTGCTCATATAAATCCGGAACTGTGCGGTTTACCCTTAAACATATTTACAAAGGTATGAGGATATAGATCAATAATCCATATTATATGTAAAATATGATAAATTGTTAATAATCTATTAATATATTTAAGGGTTATCTATGTTTGCCATACCTGTCTTTACCATATTTAGATCTTTTGGCAGATATTAATGTCAGAGGATATATAGTGGGTGCAACAAATGTTTTATTTAAACAAAAAAAACAACTTATTGATGTATTAGTAGAGGTAAGTTTTAAATGGAGTATTTTGTTTCGAAAAAAAATATAGTACTAGTGACAATCTGCTTTATTAAAACGTGTTAAGGTTGAAAATACGAGGATAGAAACAAGCGATCCAGAATTAAGAAGGCAATTACATCTTACAACCGAGGATCTGAGATTTGCGGATTACATAGTCAGACATGTAGCAGAGCCACGCAAAGATATATTTTTGGATGGTGTAGGATGGGAAGGTGGAGACGAATGGATTAGAACTCAGTTTCGAGTTTACTTATTGAGCATGTTGAGAACATCTATGCAGCAAGATACTCGTCAGTCTGATCATTACAATTCTGCATTTATAGCTGCTTGGCGCTCGACGAATAACTATAAGATATGGAGTAATTCTAATAAACCAGAAATTAATAATATAGAACCAGGTCATCCATTTGCGGGACAATTATCAGTGCAAGATATGAAATTACGATTATCACAGTAAGTATCTAATAATCACGGTAATAAAAAATGGGATAATAAATATATAGAACTAAAGTAATACATTCATTCTAGTACAATGCAAAATACAGAAAGTGGTAGAAAATTAAATCAAGCAATGGCATCAACTGGAAGAGCGGTTGCAACAACTGGGAAAGCAGTAGGTAAGTCCATTTATGCATACAGATCTTTCCATTTAAGATAACAATAAGAAATATCTCCATATAATATAAGAATATATTTGGGGAAGGAATTGCGATCCTTTTTTATTTTTTTAAATAGAACTATGTAAAAAGATTTACAAATTTTTACAAAATTTTTCAAATGAGGGTTCAATAAATTTTATTATTATATGAAAAACTAAATTATTTATGTTTTATTAATAATCAACTCATAAATTTCTATAAGGTCATATTTACCATTATATAAGAATCTAAATTCGTAAAATTAAAAATATGCGTTACTAGCAATGCTGATGGATAAATTGCAACATTTATTGTTGAACTAATAACTTATTAATCGACATAAAAATATATGTCGACTTCGTGGTTATCAAACCTTTAAGATTTTTAAACATTTGATTTTTACCATTTCGATCTTTCTATAGCTAGAATTAACGAACGTTAGCGTATTTACTAGGGGCTGATCATAATGCAAGGCCCTAGTATAAATACACGTATAACTGAATTGATGGCAGTGGTAGGATTACAATATTTCTTAAGATAATTGTAGTAGCTATATTGATTATTATATATTCGTGCATTTACATTATTATAATACTATACAATAAAATAGTCAATGTTATGTTTAATATTCGTTTGCAGTTTAATAATTAGAATTATCTCGTTATTTCAATCTAAAGTAAATTTCAAATCCTAAATAATGAAAACGCACGAGTAGTACGACAGAATTCGATTCGATTGTTGCAATCAGAACTGGCAGAAGAGTATCAATCGAATTGCAAGGAACCTTGTGCATTAATTTCGAAGAAAAGGACTTCTTTTTTGTTTGCGTTTCAATTACATATTTAAAGAAAAGATATATCCGTAGTAATAAATTTTATTTCAACTTTTGCATAATGTATAGTATGATTTATACTATACATATTATTTCTGTCTTATATATATTTCTTTTTCTTCCATGCTTTTGTCTATTCATTTCTGCATTCACTTTTTTATTTTCTTTTTTATTCGTTTATTTCTTTTTGCCGTGTCCGTTTTTCTCCATTCGTAACTCTCATTCTTCTTCTTCTCGTATCTTTACCTCAAACCTTCCTGCATTCTTAAATGAATTTGAAGCAATATAGGAATTGCTTATTTTTAGTACTTTTAAGAATGTTAAACAATTTTCAGGACTAATTGGTTGCTATTGAAGACGTATACAAAATTTGTTAAAAACTTGTTAAGCCGTTAATAAATTTGCATGAGAAAGGTGATATAGCCTGCTTTCGGAAAGAAAAAGGTTATAAATGATTGTAAATTTATTTATACAATAACCTTCTTCCCTTTCCAATTTTTTATTTGTGAAAATAACTTAAGAAATAATATTCATATTATCAGTGCTAGCAATGTAAAGATCTAGATTACATTAATCGTAAAGAAATTTCTCAAGAAATACTTCAAACCAGCTCCGTTTTCGATAATCACCGACCGGTACAAAAATATTATGATTTGCACATTAATCACAATTACGATCAGTCTGATCTTAATAATTTCTAAGAATTATTAATATTTATATACTAAAATGGAGAGAAATGCTGTTTCTATTAAAACGTATTGAAATATTTGATTAAAACATTTCATTAACAAAAGTTATAATTTTCGCTGAATCATCGAAATTCCATTTCCAAGACTCCGTAACAAAACATCGAATGGATGTCATGAAAACATTGTTAAAAGACAATGAATTCTTTTTTTAAATAAGTGTGTATTATTTATTTGCAAAGATTAATATTCTGCGAAATCTTTTATCATCGAGTTTTATGTGTAATGCGTCTACAATTCCAAAGAATATTAAATCCATCATTCACAACAAACCATGTTTATTTGTCAAGCAAGTTTTTTTTTTTTAAGTTGAAAGAAAGAAAGAAGTCTTAGAAATTGAGTCTTTTACTACAATAGAGGCACGAGAGATACCGAAACCAGTATTTGATATCGCAGACTGCAGGCTCACATTAATATTGTAAAGTAAAAAAAAAATAAAATTTAAATCCATACGAAATTGTAAAATCGCAATTATAACTCAATGTTATTGCATGAAATGTGGCAAAGATTATTTTCAAGGCTGTCATCTTATTTTAATGACCGCTTTGCAAGTTACCACTGCTATTAAAGGACATGACAAAAGTTACTGCATGAGACGGTGACATCATCCGCATCTTCCAAAATGGAATGGAAAATATGCGACATATGAATACTGAGAACAAACGATACATTTTTGAAATCCCTGAAACTCTCAACATTTGTCTGTAGAGATTGTACCACTTGAATTATTAAATCATATTCATTATATATCTTTTGCACCAATGGTTATAGGAAAAACCTGTTCAGAACCTGTTCACACGAGATGATACAACAGGATAGAAATTCCTCTGAGAATCATTTTTTTGAGAAATCTCAATTCTTCGGATAAATTAAAAGATAGTTGTCTTATTTGTTAGGTGGTGCACTGTCACAAGCTAAAGGAGCTTTCTCTAACTGGTGGAGTACATTAACGACAGTTCAACCAGTAGAGGAAGGAAAGGCTGCTGACAATCAAACCTCAACCATACATCAAACACTTTCAAATATAACTAATAAAACTGCTGTTGAAAACGAAGAGATTAATGTATCTACTAATAATACAAATTTCGGGATGGTTGCGGATTAATACGAAACGATATACAAATTCCAGTTATTTGTTAAAATGATTATGAAGCTAACATTTCTTTCGAAACGCATAAGGAGTCATCTCGAAGTGACTATTAAAAATTACTAGGAAGAGTTTGTATTTTCTCTAACAGAAGTCATCCACATTTAGTAGACATAGAGAAATAGTGAAAATAGACAAATTCGGTAATAAAATTTGAGAAAGGCCTTTGTTTCTTAATAATATATAGAAAATTATTACATTTTCATTAACTTCACTCGTTAAACACTCATCCACAGCTGAAAAAAAAGTTAATACACGTGAATTAACTTCGAAAATATAAAACTCGTACACGTAAGAATTTTGTAGTTCACTTCGGGATGACCCTTTGCTAGATGAAAAAGTCTGAGATCGGAGCCTCCATATCTAATAGACAGGAGTAACATGAGGAATCATCGAGGGTGCCTTAGCGGAGTTGTATAGGTTGCAGTTGGCTAGCCGACAAAGTACGAATGAGGCGGATTCGATTTTTGCTGTCAGGACTCTCATTTTTTCTCGACTCCTACAAGAGTGATAGTACATCTACTATCTCTAAATAAATATGGTAGAATAAAAGTAATTTATTCATACTATGCAGATAGCATGTATGTAAAACAGAGAAGTTAGCTACTTCTCAGAAATAGATCATGTAAGAAAAAGTATAAATCACAAACCAGATAGTATAAGTACTTGTAATAAAATTTTGAATAATAGAATGTATCAATGTGATAAATGTGCTGAAGAAAGGTATAATGTATATTTTTATGTTAATATTTCGTTTTATTAGCTCGTTAATTATTTTCTTCCCGTGATTGTTGTGATCTTTCTAATCGAGTAATAGTAACCTTATTAAATAAATATAAATTATTTTGCAACAATATTTATTTTTATTCATGCGGTAAGATATATTTTATTGACAAGTACCTGGACCTTTATTTCGTGTGTGTGTGTGTGTGTATGTGTGTGTGTATGCGTGTGTAGTAATATATGAGAGAGAGAGAGAGAGAGAGAGACAAAATGGAAGAAAGTATTTAAATATCCAATTAAAACCGATACTATTATAATAATATTATTATATATATTATTATATATATATATATTATAATAATATTATAATTATAACATTATTTTATAATATTTCAATACACATTATATTTTTCTTCTTTTTTTTCGGAAGGCAGTCCACATTTTATTTAATAGTGGTTAGCTTTCATGGAGAAATTAAAATAAGGTGCTCTGTACATATATTTTATACTTTTTACGCAGATTACCATCTTTGTTTTAAAATATAAAAAGTTTTATTTAATTTTAAGTATAAAACGTTAGAAATTCTTTACAAAATATAAAACGCGCGTTAATCTTATACATCTAATTAAACTAGAAAAACCAAGATATGTGTAATAGTTGTAATCTTTTTCTATGCAAAAATGTTTAAACAATTTAATGATTTTTATAATCTCGAAACCAAAAACAGTAATGTATTATTTATAATATACTACTGTATCTGTATAAATTATATACGGAATATAAAGAACCTAAATTCCACGCTTATAACAAATATATAGAATATTTACATTATGTTAGATTAATAGATAAGCAGTCAACAATGTATGTATTTAAGTAAGATAGGAAATTCATTAGAAATCTGTTTCATTAATTAATCATACCGCAATATTTTAACAAATTAATTCAAGCGTTTAAAATAATTTTTTACAATTAGAAATATTCGCCAATTGAGTTTAAATAGTAATAGCGAGGTATAAAATATTTAAGTAAAACTGCATTGCCTGTTAGTAAACTTCATATAATTATTAATATTCATTGCAATTTTGTTACAGAAGTTACAAAAGGTTATTGATGATGGATGTATGTACGCAAATTGGTTATAACGATAAGTAAATTGGAAATAGTGAGATTTTGTTTATAATTATCAGAATTTCGCATTAACACAGAAATATGATAAACAAAAATAATTACTTTTATTTATGCATACGTGCCAAATTTCCTGGCACAAGGTTTAAAATTTGTAATAGGAAAAAAGTGAGTTATGCGAGGTTTATTAGTATAAGAAATCTTTTTTGTATGTATGTATTTGGCTTTCACATTATAAAACTGTATTGTACTAGTCACCGCATGTATGAGTGTATGTATATATTATGTGTTACACGCATAATATGACAAAATCTATTGTATTTTACAACAATTATAAACGATGACGTTTTGTTTGTGTATATACATAGATATCTATAATGTGTAAAGTAAAAACTTCGTTAATTTTTATTTAGTTATTTATTCATAAAACAGGGTTCCCCAGATGTGATAGTATTTGCATTTTATTTAGTCTAATATTTAGTTACATCTTAATTTCTTAATGTATTATATGTGCCATATATTTATTATTTTATTTTTTGTTCTTTATACAAATTTTAATTCATTGAAATCTTTATTAATATTAAAGCTAAGAAGAGAATACATACATATTATTTGATATTAATTAAAAATGATGTACTGTATAAATGTTAGAACGAATGAGTGAGAAAGTATAAAGTTTGTTAATTTGTAATATTTACCTCAAATGGCTGGTAAATTGTGTATTGTACGAGAAATTATTATATAAACCAGATGTCTGATATCGAACGTTGCCCTGGCGTTTTATTCGATTAATTCGATCCAAAAAATTATGGATATAAAATACCACGCAAATATATCATCGAATTTCTTCTATTCTAAGAGCAAACGGAAAAAATATTTTTTTATTTAACTAGAAAGATAGCATCTTCAACTTTAAGTACTTCTTGTTAACATTTTCACCATGTTAAATTCCTTTGTCGCCCGAAAATTGTAAATAATTTCCTGATTTACAGCTTTTTAGGTGAAATTTCATCTTTTTATATTTAGAAATATAAATCATTTATAAAAGATAAAATACATATGAGTAAATGAGTAATAATTCGTTTGAAAAATAGCCCGATAATAAGCCATTAAATATCATCTTTCGATTAATCCAGGCAAGAGTTAGTATTTTACAACAGATCAATGATGAAACGTTCAAACGTAGTCAATGCTAGCAATTCAATTCATAGAAAATTCTTAGTTGAAAAAAATGTATATATATGATCTTACTTAATGATGAATTTTTTGAACATTAATTCACTTGATAGGATACTGTTATTAGATTTAATACTCCATAATGTTTATCTATAAAACGATATAAAATAGTTAATGGTAAGAGGTTAAGAAAAAGTTGTAGTAATATATTCCAAATCCATTTATAACAGGCCAAAGTACGCTAGAAATATATACAACAAATAGTTTGATAAGTGAAAGTTTACATTGCATTGTTGCAGAAGAAGAAACTTTTGAACATCTGTTGTAGCTTAAACGTAATGACTTGAAAAATCATGTGTGTAATAATTGAATAATAATTAATGATGATTATTAGTTTACAAGTCAAAGCTCGAAAGTTATGAAATTGTACAATTTTTCTTAATTGACACAATAAATGTTCAATTTTTTAAATAATTCGTTAATAAAACATTTTCAAAAATGAGTTCATTTACACTTTTAAATACTCTATATATACGGTATGTGTGGAAATAACTTCGGAAATAAATTAAACATGAAAATAATTTAAAAATTTCATGTAAACACATGTTCTATTTATTTAGCTCGCTACTTTTCTCAAAAAAATATAAAGTAATGAAACGAATTTAATGTCATGCTAGTTTACGAACAACTTTATTGATTTTATTCAGAATTTTCTTACATAGCCAGAATTTTCATACATACCTTTTATTGCGTCTTTATTCTGTTCACAGATTAAAAAATTCCATCCTTCACTACTAATTACATTATGATTTCTCTTTATAATAATCATGCGTAACAATAGACAATCGAGGTAAGGTAAAGTTCTAACTAAATTCTAAATGAATACTAACAAAACAGGACCATTGTATTTATTCGAACTCTATTTAAAAATACATAATAAAAAAACATCACTTAAAAATAACAAACTTTACTTTCAAATTTTTTTGAGATATTTTCGGCTATAAAAAGATAAAGTTGAAGTTCAAATCAGACTGGAGTTGATCAGCATACAGAATTACTCGTAATTAATAGATGATAATCTTCTAAAAATAATTTGAAATATATTGGATTCAATCAGTCTATTATTAAACTTGCATTTCCTTAAGATTAACAAATGCGTGTAATCAAATTTATTTTATTTTATAAACCTTTAAAGGAATATACGAAGTTATCAAACGCTATTAAGAACTACACATAGTAGAACTACACATGCATTCAGAGTATATAGTTACGTATGAAATTATTTTTAAAACAATAATTAATAGAAAGGGAACATCAACATCTATAAAAAGAAATATCGATCTAAATAACATTTTAAGCGGACTGCAGGTTCAAAGACTTAATTATACAATTTGTTATACCCTTACGAAAAACTAAGATTAAGTATAATAATTCATATTGATAAAGGCTATCTTGTTATCGTTTCACCTATATGCTAGATGTAGTTTATTTATATTTATATTCTTATGTATGAATCATGTTTTACAGATAATTCTGTAGAATTTTAAATAAAAATGTGAATTGAGTTCATAAAGAAATACAATTATTTATATTCATCGAAGTTTTTACGAATCTTAATGTTATGGTTATGATCTTATGTATATTTCTAATGTATATTTTCCTGTGTATCTGTGTTAAAAAGTAGGATTTCTTGTATCAAAGAATAAATCTTCGATATCAAAAAGACTAATACGCCACAGTATAATAATACTATAAATCATGATACTAGGAGGTACATGGTAATTTGAAATGAGAATGAATCTGTATATATGTATATATACATAATTGATACAATTTCATTGTAAAAGATTAACACATATCGTTCTTTTATGAACGTAATACGGCAGCGCATGCATAGGCATTCATATACATATATATTGTATTGCATGTGCTTAAGTACAATAGATTAATGGGTATGATGTGAATTCCATAAAAGAGATTGGACAATTTTTCTTATTCAGAGATAAACGAATAACTTTCTTGAACAAAATAATAAATTAAAAGGAAGGTAGATTATGATCGTTAGAAATAATTTGTTTACGTATATTTTCATTAATTAGAAGACTAGTTAGCGACAGCAGTGCCTACTATCCGAAAGTAGCTAAGTAATAGGTAACGAAGAGAGCAGAGACGATCTGAGTGTGAACAGTGACTGGTCAGCCGATGTGCCGAATAAACATCGTAGTTCACCGATAATACCCGAAGTCGTAAGGTGGCGAAAGAGACTATTGATGCGAGTGAGACAGACAAACTCGTGCGAGTGCCATGGTGAAGCGACGTCACTGTCGTTGAAATACGTGCAAAAGAAAATTGGAGTGATTTTAAGACGCTGATGATTATTGTTCGCTGCAGTGACTTTTTTGTGATAAATCATCGTGTTAACAAGTGGCGCGTTGTTTTCGTATGTATAAGTGACAAAAGATAAACTTCCCGTAAGATTTCTGGAGGAAAAAACTAGTACGTATACTCTCTCGGAGTAGCAAGTAGTGCGATTATTACGTGTATGTGCCGGCGTCTAGAATATACGTTTGTGCTGTCGCGTAATCGGTGTTCTGATCATAACAACGATCTGCCGTGTTAGTTGCAAAGAGTATTCGCAACGTTTATGTTTTCTTACTTGTTACTATCCACGTTAAAACTAGCTATGCAAGAAAGGGATAAATCGGTAACTGGCTGGTGGCAGCCATTTTCCAGATGAGTTTTCCCCTTTCTTTCGATAAGCAAAATGCGCTATGCCGTGAAAGAGAAAGAAAGAGGTAGTTAGTTAGAGCAAAAAGGAAAGAAACAAAAACTAAGTAGGAGGAAGAAACGGTGTTTTATTATGTTTTACAAGGTACGTTAAAAGACAGAGCATTTGTTAACTGACCACTAAAATTCACGAACACGACTCATACACTGTTTCACATCGATGAGCATGTAACCTTGTTGGTCAGTACGAAAAAGATAGAATTATCTAAGGAAGTAGCGATGGAAAGAATAAGGGTAGGGAGGGGTGGAGAGAAAACAGTGTAATACGGACAATACAGAGATACCCTGTGGTACATTTATGAACAAATCGTTCATAAACATGTATCACGATCATTTCTGTGCTTTCGTAAGAATCGTCATGATGTCAAGTCTAGTTTCCAAGTAACCTACTCCTTTGAAATCTTTTAGCTCATTAAATACTATCTCACGAATTTGTTATGATAATGAATTTCTGTCGACCATATATGGTAACATACTAAAATTGTCAAACGAACATTCTCAATACGTTGTTGAAAAAATGCGAGGGGTGGCTCACTGATTTGATCGCGCGACAAAAATACTTCGTACTTCTTTATACTTCATTTCAAGTTTTAAGCTAACTGTTATGGCTATGATACAGGATTTCGCCGCACAACAGGTTCAATATCTTGTTTCGACTGGTTCGATTCTCTCTTAACTTGTACAAATTTCTAGTCATTCTGTAATATCGTACTGCTTTTGCTCTGAATTTACAAGGTTTTTATTTACAAGGTTTCATAACCTCTCCTTAATATTTAATGAAGACTCTTATCTACGTGAATTTCGATCATTTTAAAATATAATTACGATGAAATTTTAATGAATTATTTTGTATTTTATTACGCCGTTTGACCAATCATCCCTCATTCAGATGTGTTCTTGTTTGCCTAACATATACTTGGGGTTAATATGGCAGTCATTTTTCTAACTGTTACTACTATATAGCAATATAGATTATTATTCAAGAAATTTATCACTGTAGAAAAAGAAAAATATGAGTCGTTTTACCTAAAAGATTATATTTAAATTGTGATTTTAGATTTTTGGAATGATATAGTATTGTTCTATACAGGTACATATGTTTATACTAAATTTTGTATGAAATTTACACTTAAAATATTATCATAAAATTGGGACATTAATTTATCTAAAAATCTAATGTTTTAAATAATTACTGTTATTAAATTCTTTTTGTAGTGATCCCAATTTTTAACTAACAATATTTTGTTGTGCATCTGATACCAACGCTCTGCCTATACCCTGAAAATAATTTATCTTTCAATTGAATTTATTTAATAAAATTTAATAATATTATATATATACATAAGATAATGCATTAGAGTATCTGATTGAAATACAAAAGAGATATGGTATACAATTAATATTAGATAATATTAAAAGTTTTACTATTCTTTTCTCAAATATAGTTTTTATTAAAAATGAAATAAATGAAAATTGTTGAATTCAGTAATTATATGCCGATACATTACATTTAATTATTGGTACATTTACTTAAGCGTTATATAAAACAGTTTTTGCAAATATATTATATTCAAAGAGATAAGTCACAGAAATTTTATTGAATATGGAAATCTACAATTATTTTAATGTATTTGATATTGTGTGCTGATAGTGTTGTGAAATTATTAATGTAATATTTGCTCTCATTGGTGTAAGAAGACTCAACGAAACTAGGAGTTTATTTAAAGATTGCAAGACAGATAAAAGTGCATCGAAAGTGCATATACCTGACAAATATATTTGTGATGTGATATAATAGAACAAATTGGATGTCAGTGTAATAATGTAGTGCCAACTTTACAGATGGATAAACAGGGATGACTGATAACTGTTGGAATTCTGGTGGTGGTAAGTTTTATAAATTTTATATTATGTGAGTACACATTTTTTAATCCAAGTTAGACGAGCACCCTACTATATTGCATGAAGTTACTAGCATACTGAAATTGAAACACCTATTATTATATTATATTCCAGTAACAAGAAAATGACAAAGAAATATGATTACAAGTAAATTATAAAATTACACATTTTATTTATTATAATTTTACATTTTATCATTAAAATGTCAGTGGTAATCAGGATTCTGCAGAATATTGCTTTTGGAAAGCAGGAGATAATAAATATTCTTTTGCAATTTACGCTTTCTTTAATTTGGTAAATAAAATAAAGTATTGTGTATAGAATGTAATATACTATGAGCCCCACTGTTATTTTATCATACTACAATATAACTAGTAGGTTAACAATTTGGTATCAATATGTTTTAATAACCTATAAAGCATGGCAAGTCTTATTCTTTTATGTAATATATTATATTTGCTCGCAATATAAAAATGTTATATTAGATATTGACAAATTAAAAATTAATATTATTAATGTCATGTCATGGCTGATACCGTCGTGATCTATATGTATATGTAGATGAAATTAATATGGCATGTTTATTTTCATAAATGACATTAACAGTAAGCTTTATACACGACATAAATATAATTATACAATCTTTTGCTCGTAAAAATTAGTCTAAGCTTATTCCAATGCTCTTTATCTTGTTCCAACGAGTGTTATATTTATGTCAAGCATGATGAAACCAAATTATCAAAAATATTATACAAGAAATTTTTGCTTTATTATGTTAATGCAACAATTGTTAATTGTAACTATTGGTTTGATTATATAATATGAGAATGCTTCAAATTTTTTTTCTGTTATTAACTGAGATATGATGTTAAAGGTCTCAGTTAAGATTTGTTAAAAACCTAAAGTCAAATTAAATATTTAAATTGAATACACAAATAAAAGTATTCATTTTGAGCATAAGATCGTATAATTAAATTTAATAAAAGTGGGCAATGGATCTTTCTCTAAATGACTGAAAAAAATGAATTTTTAATAAAGTAAAAGAAATTTATTGCTGTCTATTGCCCTTTTAATTGTTTATTATCGTTTGAAACGATGTACACTAATTTTTGTATAGACATACTATATTTGTATGAAGTTATTTAACATTTTCGAAAGTATAATTATATTCAATGAAAATATTGAATAGTATTTCATTTTTATATGTATGTTTATGTATGTATTTGGTAACAGTTAACAAATATACCTACAATTCCTATTATATGTGAAAAATGGTAAAAAGAGACATATTTTTATATGTAACATTCTGTACTTTATGAAGAGTTGTAGATAAATATTTTGACATAATTACTTTATATATCGAATATCTAGGCGAATATTCCGGCCTTACCATCCGAGTTACAAGATATTATAATACAATTCATGCAATCTTTTATTCATCCCAGGAAAAGTGCGCCTTATACGACGCTGTATTTGGGGCAAAAAATAAAGTATAATGCCGTTTGGAATTTTGTTAGATATACATATGTACACATACACATATTCACTCATAATGCGTGACATAATTTATACTATTTTAATAACAATGACGAAACTGAAATGTATGATTTCGTCGAATGATATATTTTGGGAATAATGCATAACACATAATGCTTTTGAATTCTAACATTTCAGCCAAATTATATTATCCCTCCTCTAAATGAAGTTAGAAAAAATCTTAACGGAAAATTTCGTGCTGTTTGACGAGCTCTATAACCGTGTAATAGAATCTTTTTCTCAAAATGTTAATTGCACTATTTTTTGTAAATTGGAAAATTTTTTCCATGAATTGATTTCTTAAGTTATTCAGTGAATAAAAGCAGTAAGATAAAGTTATCGAATACTATCGAATACTTCACACGATATTTCATTTCCTCAAAAACTTATGACGCTTAACCGTTTCGTTATCACTAAAATGCAGATATGCATGCATTTATGACAAGTGTAGATATGCAAAAATATAAGATTACTATATATGAAGAGTAAGACACTACTCTTCTATTCCAATTTTTTATTTATGTCTATAAGAATGTTTCGCATAAATATCCGTAGTCTAATCACAATCTAAATATCTTTTTATATGTTCGGATATATTTGCCATTACATTTTTTAGTTTTCATTATTCTCCAGGATGTCATATTCCTGATCAGCTTTATTCCTACTTCTAAAGCTTTAATAGACTCTGTTTCCCATTCTAAAGATTTGCCATTTTGTACCCCCAAATCTTCTTTTAGGCAAATCCTAAATCATCGTTTTCTTTCATTTTAACTATGATCAGTATGCCATACTTATCGGTTCTCTGTTTGATCTGTATACTTATTCTCGCTATGCTTGATTCCAATCTCCACGTGTAATCTGGAATATTTCTATACAATCCTATCGCCATTTCGTCCTTTTTTTACTGTCGCCACATCTCGATTCTATAAAGTAACATCGGGCTGATGAACACGTCCAAGAGATATATTCTTCTTTTCCAGGTAATGAAAAAGAGTCATCTGAAAAGAACCAAATACTTACGTATTTAGAACACTCTGCTACTTCTAACAATAGGTCCGTTTCTCCTATACTGTTAACATATAACAATCTATACTTACGCCGAGCTAATTTTCCTTGGAATAACTTTTTAACGATTTGAAGATTTTCTTGATATCTTCATCGACAATTGCTAAAACGTCGATCACAAATTTCACAGTCAAATGAATTTCCAGTCCCATCTTCGTTGTTTCTCAGTCAATCTCTTTCCGAATGTTTTAAGAATAAAATCAACAGCAGCGGATTAATGGCACAATACTGTGTGTCATCTGCAACAAAGATCTTTGTTCAGCATACATTCGTATTGTTCCTAATTATTTGTTGTTTTCTCGCATATTTCCTTTATCATCTGCATCACCCATCGCCCCCAACCGATTTCCACCGTTATTAGCTTATTACCAACTTGGAGATATTCATCTAATAAAAATCAAATCAGTAAATATCGCATTGAGTCTTTAATTCGTTATTAATGAGATTTCCCTAGTTACAAAGCTGTGTTATGCTACCGATATTACTAGTAGCATATCAGACTAATTCCTTCACGGTTGCAGTCTGATCTGAGAAAGGTTAATAAAGTTCTTATTTCTGTATTAAGTAGCAGCGCCATCTGAAAAATATATTTAGTTTACTTTAATATTATTGGGAGAGAAGTATGTACAAGTATGAAATTATTATATTTAATACAAATATAACAAACCTTTGAACAACAGGAAGGTTTAAGTTGCTAACTAATCACGTAATTAATTTTTAATTAAAAATCTACCTATAATTTTCGACTCCTCAAAAGCTTAACCTTAAAATAATAACTGCGAATACACAAGTTGTAACTAAACGATGAGTAATTGGATATGTGTGTGATATCTATTGAATCCTTTGTGCCCTTAATATTTGTTTATTTTAATTGGAAAGATGTGTGAAAATGGCGGAGTTTGGTAGTATATTAAGTGGTAAAAACTATAGGAATTGTGTTTCTTGAGAAGGACTAAGGTTAGGGCTAAGAGTAAGGGTAGAGTAGGTCCGTGGCTGACGGGTGGTGAAGTGGCGAGTAAGGTAGGCAATAGAGTCATGAAAATGGATCTGGTGCCATATTGTGTCGAAAGTGAAAAAAGTAGTTAAATACTTACTGCTTCGATATTACTTAATTACTTTACTGCTTCGATATTAACTCTAGAACAACGCTGTTACACTTTCCAAATATTTTTAACCGAGCAACCCAAGATAAGATATGAATATTCAAAATATTATTCAATATTCCCTAAAGATTTGTTTCTATTCTTTTTTGGATATCGTAAGAAAAGATAACCGAATAACTATTATATCCATTTAAATTTATTAAAGAAAAAGAACAATTTTACGTTAAGAAATTGTAATATTTTTCAACTTTTAAAATTTCTAATTATAAATTTAAAAAAAAATATTTCATCATTTATTTCAAATATTTCAGATAACTAACAATAAGATACAATTTCCTTATATTAAAGACTTTGCGTTAATGAATGAAGATGTGTATCAAATTCTTTTCTCTCTATTATTTCATAAATCGGGGTACACATTAGGAAAATAGGCAAACTCAACGAACTAGAGACAAATGTCCTTCTAGTTTATTAAACAAATACGACATAATCAACATAGAAAATATTTGCTTTTTGAATGAGGATAAAAACGAAGCAAAACCGAAGATTGTTCAACGATACAAAATGTTTCCACATATAGCATTCTTCTGCCTTTCTTTTTCTTCTTTCTCTTTCTCTCTCTTTTTTTGAGAAAGGGAAAAGAAGGAGGAAGTAGACATGAAATATTTGTTTAAATTGTCTTTTATATCAGAGTTTAACAAAAATTGCCGCTCATTATCACTGATTCGCAAAAGTATTTGGATACTTATGGAAATCTTTCATGAATAGCATATTATGCGTGCTATGTAAAGCATTTTGAAATTTAATTAGCGCTGTAATGAAGTATGACTCATTATCACCGCTATAATGGTAATGGTTTTTACTTAATACAATATGTTATGTATGTAATATCATAACATATTCGTAAAAGTTTCCTACTAACTCTAAGTGTTCAAATAATTTTATGAATTACTGTACGTTTTGTATATGCTATTTCCTTTCCATTGTCTGTCCTGCCCAATTGTTATATGCTTAAAACGTGTTACTTTCTTTATTGCGAATGTTATTTTTACCGAAACTTTAATTTAGTTTCGAACCACGAAATTTGCTTTTAATCCGTAAATTTTCTTTAAACAATTCTCCTTAAGAATTCTCATCAAGTTGATACAGTTTGATTTAATAACCACGATGTGTTTTTTCAGGCGCTGGCGTCAAGATGGAGCACTTTCAGGCCACCCTGGACCCAAGGAAGCAGGAGTTATTGGAGGCCCGCTTTCTCGGAGCACGGGTAAGCTATTTTTCGCCTGTACTTTTTCTTTCTCTTTTTCCTTGCTTTCTTCTGCATTGTTTCCCTTTCTGTTCATTCTTTTTGCATATTTAGCAAATATCATAAGTCGATTAAAGTGGATCGCAGATCGTTTCAATATAACGATAATATCTTTCGACATTATGTGAGATGGAAAAATTTGTGTGTTTTTAAAATTGAAGTGATAATTACTGAGAGAATATATTCACCATTAGGTCATAGCAAACTTATTACATATTCTAAGCAGACGAATCCGCTTTTAGGTCACAGCGACTGTTTTTGCGAACGAATACAGTGACGAATAAAAGTATTGGCAAACTGCAGATTGTCCTATGTAAATCTGTAAAACACACGATCGTCCATCGAATTTCTTTCGTAAAATATATTTTTCTAATCGAAAGTTTAACTATGTTACAATCTATATATATTACAATTAACAGTGCAATAAAAATGAATAGTAAAAAATACATATTTAACGAATTGTTTTTAATGGAACATGCATCAATTGCAGTGAAATGTAAAGTGAAGATTTACTCCTATGTATATTTTTGCAAAAGTACACAATTCGCTGTTTGATATGAGATTCTCCGTCTCAGGTGTACCACCCTATTACCAAACTTGGATTATATCGTGCAGTCGAACATTTGCGAAACTTCGAGAGTTTGCAAGGGCCAGTTTCCCTTCTGATCCGCCTTGTATTCCTAGGCTATGTGACGATGGGATGACTTTCACGGATGTCTCGAGTCGCAATCCGATGTAACCCTAATCTGTTTCTTGGAGCAGTATCGATATCGTGTATTATGTGGAGATTAGTATATTAGTGTACAAATTAATTCGCTGCCCTTTTTACACTAAGCTTTAGACTTATTTAGAGAAAAAATAAAGTAGGTCTCAAATTTCGAAACAGTTTTCTTCGTTTTCTATATATTCATTCCTTCCGTTAGGCAGTCGATGAATTCTATCTTAGAAAAAATAATAGTGGTTGTTACATGGTTTAAGGTCAATTGTTTGATGGTTTAAGGTCGTTGAATTAGGTTGTAAATACGGTAAAACCGCCTTTATCTTTAGGAATCCATTTATTTGTACAAAATTTTAGTCAGTAGCATTACGTTATAACACATAATCAGATCATATTATAACATAATAAATGCATTATTTAGCTTGAATGGACATTAATCATGTAGATACTCAGAACCCTCTCACATAATAGCAAATGACAAATGACAAGTTGTAGATTATACTATCAATTTCTATTGTACAATTTTGCTATCTCACATCGAATAGAGCAATCAGATAGCTTGTAATTTGTGAAATTCACTTACAGAGCTTTACACTTATATACTATTGCCAGGCCTTTTTACATTATGTATCTTCGAACTCTAATTGTAATACATAGTCAGGTGTATATATCAGGGTTGTTTATAAATTCTGCCTTTTACGTTGCACTGCATTGTATTGATGTAAAGACTGGCCAAAGACATTTTTCTCCCAGCTTTTTTTAAGTTCTATTTTCATCGTAAATATAAAGACGAAGCATACGCTATAAGTAAAAACAGACTAACAAATGAAGAGCCTCGTAACGCATAAGATAGAATAAAGTATATTGTCGTAAGAAGAAAAATTGAAGTCACTTCTGTAATCCGCCCGTCAAACTACCACGCTTGTGGGTTTTGTTATATCAGATTCGTTGATATGGTGAATCGACGATAGAGAAATGACCTTGACCGGCCAACATATTTGGCTTGTACTTTTGAACTATTAACCTATTTCTGACCTCCTTTTATCTTATAACAGTGACGCGCGAGGAGACCTAAACTGTGTACGAATGTCTAACCGTAATAATATCGTCAAAGGTCGTTTTAATTTGTATTAAAATTAAAAGACACTAAGAAAAGATAAAGAAGAGATATACTATTCCATAGAAAGAAAAGCTTGTAAGTCTTCGAAGCTAGCCGGAAGCTAAAAAGGCGCGATTATGGCAATAATAGGGAAACTCTTACGTGTAAATTCAACATTTATAAAAACATTGAGAATTTATCAGATACTTAATATTAAAGTTTTATAAATAATTGTAAAGGTGTATGAGCCATTCCACGTCAAATTGATCGTTTTTCTACTCGATGTACGGAATCTTACCGAAACTAAAACCAAATTTTATTCAATTGAATTTTATTCACATGTATATTGTAATTCATATGAAAATAGGGAGTTTGTCATCATTTTGCTAATATCGGAATTGTTAGAAAAGATACATATCTTCAAACTTGCCGCCTTTTGTCGAATTTTACCGAAACTATCTTCAAATAAGAATTCTTATCTTCGCAACTACTAGGTATACGTATCTTTCTTTCTTTTTTTTATTCTAGTTTCAAACGATTGTCCCCCTTAACTAATTTTTGAAAATAATATTAATGAACAAATAAGCGGTCAATTTATTCCTATACAACGCCTCATATCATTCGGTATGCTGTGACAACTATGCCGAATCATGACGGATCGTATTAAATCGTATCGGGTTGTATTATGCTCCCTACAGAAGCCGAATATGCACGTCCGTTCCTTCTGCTTCTCCCCTTCTCTCGCAATTCTACTTCCTACCTACCATTAACGACACTGCTCGCCTCCGGCGGATGTTACTTGAAACGCAGCTATCGATAGTTTCGAACCTTCCTCGCTGCAGTTATCAACGTATTATCAAGACTAATATTTTTCTTGTTTACTACCTGTTAAAGAAATTTACACATAGATTTTGCCGTTTCTAATCTTCTGCTGCAATTTCATTCACAAATAGATTATCAAGTACATTATATATTATAAGTTATCTTTGCGAATATCTCTTTTAATTCATATTAACATTTTGTGATTCATATTGTGGTTACAGATCATAACTGATTTCATGTTTACCAAACTAGACGTTAAGATCAGGTCAGGGGATAAAGTGACAATAAATTACTGAACAAGTGTTTACACGATGCTCATCATTGATGATGAGCATAGTTTGATGAAGTATTTTCTTAACCCTTTGCACTCGGAATTACAGTTGTGCTGATAGGATTTATTCGATATTATATGATATTTATAAAGTATCACACGTATCTCATAAATGTCTAGTTTATAATGCTACATATTAGACGTGAACTTTGTATCCAAGAAAATTTTCTGTCTTCTTAAAGATATTCGCACGTGATCAATTTATGTATACATTATGGGCATTATATACAGAGCGATCTTCGAATCGGTCGCTACGATTTTTCAGACACTTCCAATGGTCCGACAAAGAAATATTTTAAATAAAAGCTAATCAATTTTTAATCGACTACAAATTTCAATATAAGACATTTGCAAAAAATTGTTTTTTCTATAAAAGGTCAAAGTCGCCTTATCTTTCTTAAATGACACTACGTATTTTTTACTCTATACTGTTGTAGCTGATGTTAAGCAACCTGCTATACTATGACCTTGAAATGACCCAAAATCTTGAAATATCGGTTTCATCAACGGAGATGTTATCGTTAAAAGTAATTTTATTTCGATCAAATTACACATTTCAAAATGGTTAGCCTTCAACAAGAAAAATGTTAGTCATACACACAGAAGGACTCTTACGAAAGGAACATGAACAACGTACAGAAATAAACGCACCTTCTTTAGTGTTGCAGTACGTTTGTGCGTCCTATTATAATAAATGCTCTAACTGTAGCTCATAATCTTGTAAACATGATTCCGAAAGATGCAGTAAATTTGTATCGATTGCTCCTACAATGCTGTCATAACGAATGTTTTGACATGCTGTTCGGATTCGATGCTTTAGATAATCAATGTTATAAATTGCAATAGCGTAGACCATTGACTGTAGCTGATTCTATAGAAAAAGATTTAATGGGAACAAATCGGGGATAAAGGTGGTCAAGAAATAGGTTCGTAAGTGCTCAATCAACGTTCTCTAAACATTTAATATCATACTAAATAAGGCTTGTCTATTTCTGTAGCCTGTTTGTGCTCCTTTTTGTAGTATGCATATAATTAATATTTTTTGTGTTGAAGCTCATGTTGAAACGTATAATTTGATGGAAATAAAATAATTTTTAACGATGACTGTCCTTTGATGAAATCGACATTCATTCAGTATCACTTTACAGCCATAGTAACAGGTCGTTGAACTCGTTTTAACGTCCACTACAACGGTATGAAGTCAAAGTTACGTAGTGTCATTTAAAAAAGTCAACCAATTCGTAGATCACCCTGTATATAGAAATAAAATATAAAATATGAAAGTGATATGATGATAAGGATTCAAGCAGGCAGCGATTGTCTTGATTTTTGCAACAAAATACTCACGGAGAATTTTATTCTAGTGGAAAATTGATCAATTCGTTTATTCGTTTTATTACAGTGTTGTTAGAAAAGAATACATTTTTTTCTATTGTTACCTTTTGTTTTTTAGTAATCGTTCAGGCAATTATTTCAAAAGATACCAACCTTTAAAATATGGTTATGTTGATATGCTTGAAATAGGTATTTTTGTGCCATTAAAACTAAATACGAAAATGTCGTGGAAATTTTCAGGATGATCTAATAGTTCCTTCGAATAAAGCTGTTCGATCATCAACCAGGGACATGTGACACGCAATTTCAATCCCGCATTCGCTCATATCATAATCATTCGTTCTGATTTATTGCCACGTGCCCGGCAGACGTGGTCACACAAGGGTGGTATCATCCCTCGATAAAGTAACGGTCGCGACAACAACAATCTAAAAAGACACGATGTCCAAGAACATGGTGACATTCGATCATATACGTGACTGCTTGATTTCGTATACTTTTAATTAGATCTTGTTATTTCATATCTTGTATTTCGTAACTGTGCAAAAATTGAAAATTTTAGAGTAATTTTTACGGTTGTAAGAAGTGATGTACATATTTAGTGGTTTTTCTTTAGTCTTCTCGAAAAAGAAAAAGATTAAATTCTCGAATTCCGT